CTCTGTGTGTGTGTGTGTGTGTGTGTGTGTGTGTCTCTCTCCCGCGCGCGCGCGCGCGGCATAGTAAAGGAGGAGAGGATGGTAAAACGAGAGGCGCAGTGACAGGTTTCTCGTCGGACTCTCTCTCATATGTGTGAGAGCGAGAAACACCTGGTTGCCTCTCTCTCCCGCTTTCGATCGCTCTCGCTTTCAAGGTCCTTTATTTTTCCCCCGCCTTTAGTTCCCGCCATCCTTCTCGTACAGCCTGCGCCTGTGCGTTCCTGCGGCTGACTCTGGCTGGGCTCTTTCTTCGTCATTGCCTTTGTCTCTCACACTGCAATGATCAGCTCCCGCTCCCGCGCACTCTTCGCGCTTCGCGCAGTCCCTTCCATGCATCTCATCATGGGAGCATTGATCGTCGAGATCCATCGATCAATCACCCGATCCCGATCAGATCGATCAAATCCATCAAGTACGCCGATCGATCGAATAGACCGTCCGATCAACAAAAACTGACCGGTCGATCGATCATTTGACACCTTAAAAGTTAAAACCAATTGGAACAGAACGCCAACATTTTTCTGAGTTCTGACACTCTCTGCGTTTATAACCCGCACGACCTGGGCTGGGCGGAGTCGCTAAAGACACAGCGACTGCAATCAATTTATAAATTACCTGAATAACTTACCATTCATTATTCAATTCACCTTTTTTCGTCGGCGCGCAGCTCGACGCGAGCCCGATACGAGGAGACATAGATCCGGTCGATCCGTCTAGAGAAGCGCCACACGGCAGTAGTGTGTTTCGTCATGTTCGCTGTACCCAACTCCACAAAAAAAAAGCATGAATGCGCCAGACTGTTCCGCCGGACTTTCACCGACTCTGTTTTTATGGGTGGGTGGGGGGTTGGGGGGGGGGGGGGGGGGGGGGGGGCGCTTGTGTTCATACTCTCGTTATTGCGAATGGCACAGGGTTTACCTTGAGCAACAGGCTGAGTGTGTGCGTGCGTGTATCTGTGAGCGTGTACGTGTGTGTGTGAGACACAGAGAGAAACGGAGAGAGACAGAGAGACAGAGACAGAGAGAGACAGAGAGAGACAGAGAGAGACAGAGAGAGACAGAGAGACAGAGAGACACAGAGAGACACAGAGAGAGAGAGAGAGAGAGAGAGAGAGTGCGGTTTTCTTACCTTGGTAATTGCGCCCTCCTCCCAATCAGCACATCATCGACAAATGAGGTTGGCAGGTAGATGAGTTTCTTGAGATGGCGGTACCCATCATCATTATCATGATCATTATCATAATCAGGGCCTTCATCGTCATCCACGTCATGCACCAACGTCACCATATATTCTTCCTCATCTTCATCCTCATCCAAAAGGATATTCTTTCATTTTATTTTTTATTTTATTTTTTTTTAAGGATATTCTTTCATAACTTGGTGGTATTCTCTTTCCCGAGTTGGATGTTCTTGCGTACGACCTTTTATCTCAAACAAAAAAAATACTCGTAACATCATCATTATGATTCATTATAATATATTATTCTTTATTTTATTTTATTTTATTTTGTTATTTTACTATATTTATTATCTATATATATATATATAATTTTTATTTTTTGCTTTTTCTATTTGTTTTTCATTGTTATTAGTACAAAATAAAACAAAACAAATTTACTAGATTCGATTTTCACTTACTTGTTGCCATGCAGTTTCTGCTTTGTGACAACAATAGCCTCTTCCTCAGGTGTGAACTTGGTGCTCCTCCTGTTTAAATCCGGGCGCAGGTGATTCATCCACCTGAGGCGGCAGCTCTTCCCGCTCCTTGCCAGCAGCCCCATCGTCTCGATCGAGCTCCAGTTCTTTGGACCTTGATTGGCCACGTATCCCTTCAAAATTTCGTCTTCCTCAGGCAGCCATACCCCGCGCTTCAAGGGGCGCTTTGGACCCACGGCGGGCGCTCCGCCGCTGACTCCCTTCCCGCCCGCCGCCGCAGCGGAGGCCTCGTCCCCAGCCAGGCTCAGTGGTGAGCTCCCGTGAGCTCCCCCGACTGCCGCTGCAGCATCACTTTCACTCTTACATACCGCCGGCCCCGCTCCCCCCCCCTTCCCCCCCCCTACCGACTGCTGCTGCGCTGCCACTTTTTGCCCATGTGCCTGCGGATGCGACTGCCCCTGGTGCTGAGCTGGCAGCGCTGAATCATCCGCGTCAACCACGGCTCCTCCGCCGGAGTCCATGGCTGGCGGCTTTGCTTGCAGATAAGACAAGAATAAACCGCAATGAAAACCGGGGGCGCAAGGAGAGAGAGCTGTCTCTTATACACATCTAGATGTGTATAAGAGACAGCTTTATGCCCCTGATCTTCTTTTTTTCTGGGATG